GCTGGTCAAGCCTCCAGCGGGGATCCTCACCCCATGTGGGTGTGGCCAGCCTGGATGAGGGGCTGAGGGCCGTTTTCTGGCTGCCCACAGCCCCTTCAGGTTGGGGGGTACTGCTGGGTTGCCTGGCCAGCCTGGGTGAGGGGCTGAGGGCCGTTTTCTGGCTGCCCACAGCCCCTTCAGGTTGGGGGGTACTGCTGGGTTGCCTGGCCAGCCTGGGTGAGGGGCTGAGGGCCGTTTTCTGGCTGCCCACAGCCCCTTCAGGTTGGGGGGTACTGCTGGGTTGCCTGGCCAGCCTGGGTGAGGGGCTGAGGGCCGTTTTCTGGCTGCCCACAGCCCCTTCAGGTTGGGGGGTACTGCTGGGTTGCCTGGCCAGCCTGGGTGAGGGGCTGAGGGCCGTTTTCTGGCTGCCCACAGCCCCTTCAGGTTGGGGGGTACTGCTGGGTTGCCTGGCCAGCCTGGGTGAGGGGCTGAGGGCCGTTTTCTGGCTGCCCACAGCCCCTTCAGGTTGGGGGGTACTGCTGGGTTGCCTGGCCAGCCTGGGTGAGGGGATGATGGCCGTTTTCAGGCTGGCCACGCCCCCTGGCGACCCAAGCTCCCAGCCTCTTCTTTTTTTCTCTTTTTTTTTTCCTGGGATTTATTTATCTTCTATAACTGCAACTTTGTAGCCTTGAGCAGAGCCGAGGGACAGCCATGGCAGGCGGGAAGCTTGGCTTTCTCCATTGCAAGGGGCAACCCAAGCCTCCTGCTCTCTCCAGCTCCGTGGCCGCCGCCATATTAGTTGGGTTAATTTGCATACTCACTCCTGATCGGCTTGTGGGTGTGGCTTGAGCATAGTGAAGGGATGGTTAATTTGCATGTTTCTCTTTTATTATATAGGATATGCTTCTAGTCTTAAATAAAGCTGAGAAAGTATAGATGAGTCAGCAGGAGGCAATATGGTACAGTGGAAAGGAATGAGGTTGTCTGGAGTTTCAACTCCGTCATCCACTAAGAGTTTAACTTTAGACAAGTTGCTTAAGCAATCCACAAATGAGGATAATGACAATAGGGTTTATCATCCTAGGGTAATTATGAATAGTAAGTAAAATAATAAATGAAAAGCTCTTAGCAGAGTTATCAATACTTTGGGTTGTTATTATGATTTCATTAATTATTATTATTGGCATAAATCCATTTTTAGGGCAAGTCCAAGATACACCAATTAAAGTGAGTCACTCACATCGTTTTCCAATAGAAAGGACCGTGCGTTACCATATTCCTGAATATTGGGCCTGTATTTTTAGAGCAGTGTCCTGTTCCTCAAGAATTCCCTGAGGCACCAGGAAAGGATGCTGGTTTTATTCTGAGGGGTTTTGAGCTACAGAACCAGGAGCTATTGGTAAGGGTACGATCTTGAGCTGGTAACCATCGCTGGTTCTGATCAACTGCCTTCTATTCATAATCCTGTAAGAGTGAGTGGTAAGGCAAGCATCACATGCACTTTAAAAATATTGTATGTTAAGATGGTACATAAAGCCAAACCCAGTTCTCACTGAGAGAACTTACGTGTTTTTTTTTTAAAATATATTTTATTGATATTTTACAGAGAGGAAGGGAGAGAGATAGAGAGTTAGAAACATCGATGAGAGAGAAACATCGATCAGCTGCCTCCTCATCACATGCTTTAAAAATATTGTATGTTAAGATGGTACATAAAGCCAAACCCAGTTCTCACTGAGAGAACTTACGTTTTTGACTTATGCTTCCTATAAGCACTGTGATAATTTTTATATAAGCATTTCCAAGCCTGCAGCTACACTCTGACCATTTCCACACGGATGCATCTGTCCCTCTTCTTGGTGGACCAGTTTTAACTATGTCCTAAAGGCTACAAACTCCTTTTATGAACATCACATTTTTCATTTCCCTCAAAATTAGGTTTTTGAAAACCCCCACATAAACACATCAGGGTGTATTTTCAAAGGGCTAGGAAAGTTCTTTGTAAAGATTTAGTTCAGTGAAAATGTCACTTCTGATGAATCAGATACTTGGAATAAAATGGACAACTCACATCGCTGGCAATGTCCCTGGAGGCCTTGGCTGCCACGATCGGGATGGCGTCGCTTCGCAAGTCATAGCCTTTCTTCTTTGCCTCTTCGTTGGCGAGTTTATACAGACTCTAAATTTGGGCCAAAAAAAAAAAATCAGTTGGATGTTGACACTCATATCAAAAAACTGATGGGGGAATTGAAATAATTCACTATGTTCTACAAAGGTAGGTGCCTATAACAACCTTACTTTTGAGAGATCTAAGCCTTCTGCATTTTTAGCTTTTGGTGACAATGAAGAGCTAGTTATATAAGCACTAAAATTATAGGTTGCACGCCCCCATAATAAAATGACTTAAGATGGTGGCTAACCTATCTAAATTCTTTAAATTATGTTTTGCAGAAGAGTAATATACTGTTGATTTACACTGTCAAAGAAACTCCATTTTCTTTGCTGGCAGTACAAAGCTTGGAGAAATACCTAATATATTCTCAGACAGAATCTTAGAGCCACAAACATCTCCACAGGCTTAAACAAAGAGGTTCAATATAAGAAGAGATTGCAGAGAGATAAATGTCAATCTTTGAACTGAGATTTAAATTGCCAACCATGTACATGCAGGATAGAGGAAACCCAGCCTAAGCCCACATAAGATGTCTTAGGATTTTAGTTGATCCCAAATTCCCTGTGCAGGGCAGGGACACAGCTGCCAGCGTGTCCTGAGACACACGGTGCAGGGATGGAGGTCAAATGTCTAAAAGAGAAAAATAGGACATCAACTGTAGTCTACACTGATCATTCCTTACTTGCAGAATTTTGTTTGTTCTGAGAGTCATGTTCTAGGAGAGATGTCATGTGTGCAATGCCCAGGCACTTGGGATGTTTGGATTAGTTGAGAACCTGGGATGAGGTGGCAGGGGAGGCACCATAGTTGCTATTGGCCTCTCCATGGTGTTGGCACAGATTGGTTCTGCATAGCCTCAGAGGACTATGTGTGTCTGCAGAGAGAAATCTTTGAGTCAATACATCAGAAGCACCTTCTAATGGAATTTTCCGGAACAAATGGGTTGACTTATGAGATAAACTTCTTGTCAGTGAGAACACTTAAGCAAAAGCAGGATTATAACCCATCGGGCAGGGACTCCTGTCCTAGGAGAGGCTAACCTCTCAGCCTTAACTATAGGTGCTTCTGCGATGGTACACGGTCCTATGCTCACCAAAGAAAATGGGCTTGCTAATATGTACACTGCCAGGTCCTCTCTGCCTCTGTCTCTCTCTTTCTCTGTGTTATTTGGTACTACTACTGTGATTTTCGTCCTTGACTCAAAAATCTTAAATTTTGATCCTAAACTATAATTTAGGAAAAATATATTACATAGAGAAATATGATTAGCACAGCTATATAGCACAAGGATGAAATAAGTGTATATTTGGTCTATTGCTAATTTCATAACTTAAAAAAATTAATAAGAGGAAAAGGTCTAATTAATCTTATGGTTATTGCTTAAATCATTAGTTCTTATAATTTGTACTTCCTAAAATATAATCTGTGTTACTTGAAGTTTGATGTTTAGGATGGTGACTGAGAAATGCAAGAGTTGCTATTCACATGGAGCAAAAAGAGATTCTTTATAAAGTTGTCCTTTAGTATTACATCCCGAGGAATAGATGAAGTAAGAAACAGCATGCAAATGTTACAGAATTAGCATCTGCTCCCACCTCACTGTAGTTGATTTTGTTCATTCTTGCCAACGTAATTTCTGGGGTGTCTGGCATGATGTGGATCTGGGTCTTGTCTTTGTCCCAGGCTTCTGTGTATAAACGCTATCAAAGAAAGTACTTAATGTCATCAGGGGGAAAATTCAGTGTATAATTAGTAGGAATTTCAGGGCCACAAGAACTTTATAAACAAACATAACAAAAGGCTATGCATTTTTTACATTATGTATTTTATATACATTTCTCAAGTGAAGTAATCAGTTCATAGTAAAATAGTTATTTCTACTAATATGAAATATAATTTAACAAAAGGAAATTGAGAATATCTTTTATGCAAAGATGATTTCCATAAAGATATGCCATTTTATTTAAAAAAACCATAAAATAATTACTAAAAGTAAATATTAGAAATAACATATCAGATTGATATTATAGATAAATTGATGTCTTTTGTTGCTCAGTGCTCTCTTTCTTTCTTTACTTGACTATGCTTCTTTTTCTTTAATTCAGCTTTAGGAGTCCTACCTTGATTCCCTGAATTTTGAAGCCTCACCTTGTTCATGGTGATGGCATTATTCTTGGCCAACACTTGTTCCAGAGAATCAGTCACACTGGTAAATTTAAATTGGTCTGGATGCTGGCGATAGATTTTATCACTCAAAATTTCAGTTGCCTTTTTGCATTTTTCCACATCCAAAGAGCCAATGGGAACCCAGCCGATGCCTCTCATCCACTGAAGATCTGACTTGTACATATTCTGTTGACACAAAAAGGCAATAAATGTCTATCTTCATTGGGAAAAGTTTTCATCTAAAGGATATGAAATAAAGTAAGAGCATTCTTGAAAATATAGTTTGGTGGACAGGCGGGTATCAGACAATATTTCTTTTTGGTTTGGAGGGTTAAATAATTAACACAAGGGAAAAAGAGATGCTAATTCCCCCCTTTGCAGGGACTGGTGAATTTGGTGCCACCTATTGCTACCTTCTCCAAGGAATGTGAGTTCACTGATTTCCCACCTTTGCATGTCATTATGATCCTCAGGTACTCACGTCGCTCTGGATTTCATAGGCCTGCCGAGCGTGGATGACGTCGTTCTGGTCGGGCAGGCACGTCCACTGGTGCAGGTAGTTCTTGTAGTCCACGTCACTGACCAACGTCTGGCACTTCTTGGCCAGCACCACCCCCAGCATGTCCACGGGGCTGCTGTACCTGGTCTTCGACTTCTCAAAGTCCTTCTTGTACTCCCTGTCACTCTGGATCTTGGCCACATGCAAGGACCACATCATTTTGGGGTCGTCCTTGATGTCCCGGGCTCCAATGTGGTGGCCGAGCTGCTTACGATAGCCTTCTTTGTACTTGAACTAGAAGAAGAAAAATGCTGATAGTCACCTATTTTAACTTTAGTAAAAAGCAATTACTAAGGCCACATTTTTCTAATCTTTAAAAAGATAATGATTTGACCAAACTACATAAATATGCATCTTGTAAACCATTTGGAAAATATAGCATATATATGTATACAAAACTAAAATAAAAATGAAGACATTATTCTGCCATTCAGTGATAGCCACTGGAAAAAACTGCTTTTTGTGGTGTGCGTGTGAGAGAGAATAAGATTAAAATAGGAGTCATACTGTATATGGGTTTGTGCTTGCTTTTTCAATTATCATATAAGGATTTCTCTGCATCATTAAATATTCTCTATAAATATGAATTTTAATGGTAACAGATATTATACTGATATATATTAATACTTTTAACCCCTTTGTGATTATTGAACACTTATATTTGAGTTCTGATAGTACTTCCCATATTTTGGAAATAAAAAATATTTTTGAGCAAATTTATGTTTTAAAGAAAATAAATATCCATAGCCAACCACTGCAGAGCCAAACATATGGTCCATATGAATGGTTGAACTTTGAATAAAATAATGTGTCCCATTCATTCAGCCCTTATATGTTCATTGGTTCATAGGGCATGGGTTAGGTGTTGAAGGAATCCTACAATGAGTGTGGTTATATATAAGAATACATCATGTGGAAAAGCCAAAAGGATCTCTGAATTATAGTCAAATACCCAATGCTTTTATTCAGCAAGAAATAGATCATGTTTTGAAATGCATGTTGCTATGAACTCAGACATAACAAGGAATTAGCCTTTGTGTCAAGAATTTCATTACCATTATTTTAAACTATTTACTGAGAAAAAAAATGTTAGCAAGAAATTTAACCTCATAGATTAATTGCTGAATATATTGTTTCAAAATATTCAGATTTGAAACAATATTTACTGAGAAAAAAATGTTAGCAAGAAATTTAACCTCATAGATTAATTGCTCTACCATGTATTCAGGAAAAAGAAAGAAATCTTTGAGCCAAAGCTAAGGCGAAGAACTTTTCAGGTGCACTTACTTCACTTGCAATGTCTCTGGAGGCCTTGGCCGCCTTGATGGGAATAGCATCTAATCGCATATCATAGCCTTTCTTCTTGGCTTCTTCTAGGCCAAGTTTATATAGTTTCTAAAATAGAAATAAATAATCATAAGTTTGATTTATAAAGTGCAGTGTAAGGAGAATATATCATGCACCATAATTACTAGTATATTGCTTACCTCACTGTAATTTATTTTGTTTTGCTTAGCTAGTAAGACTTCAGGGGTGTCTGGCATAATGTGGATACTGGTTTTATCTTTATCCCAAGCTTCAGTATAGAGGCGCTAAAACAAACAAAAAGAAGACACGACTAATGCAAACCAGTAATGAATAGATACATATAACTAATCTGGTTCATCAGAGTACAGAGTCTGCTCTGTGAGTTGGTATTTGTGACACCTTCAGGTCCAGATGTCTCATGTCTGTAAAAGCATAACACTCACTTAAAAACCACTTTAATTCAAAGCAAAATAATTGAAAATGATTTTCCTTTTATAGAAACAGATTTCAGTGTTTACATTCACACACATGCACACACACAGACACACACATACACACACAATTAATACTCCTCCCAAGTAAAAAAAGAACTTACATGGTTCATGGTAATAGCATTGTTTTTTGCCAAAACCATCGGCATGGAGTCCATAAGGCTGGTAAACTTGAATTTATCTGGGTGTTGACGGTAAACATGTTCACTCAAAATCTGCATAGCTCTCTTGTTCTTCTCATCCTCAAGAGAACCACTAGGTAACCAGCCAATGCCTTTTAGCCACTGAAGGTCGGCCTTGTACAAATTCTGAAATTGTAATTGACAAATCACTAAACATAAGCATAATAATATACCCCTAAAATTATAGTATAGTATAGTATAGTATAATATAATATACATTTCAATGCTTAAATTTATGGTAAATTTAAAAAAGTTGGTACGTCTTAAGAATCAACAAAATATTCAGACTTGAAACAATATTTTGAAAAACATTTTAAACAGCAGCTTCAATGCTTAAGTTTATGGTAAATTTAAAAAAGCTGGTACGTCTTAAGAATCAACAAAATATTCAGATTTGAAACAATATTTTGAAAAACATTTTAAACAGCAGCATGTAGAGAAAGACCCAATGTTTCTGGGTCAGCAATGTAGAGGCTTCTACCAAAACAATTGGGGCTTTGCTGGCTCTTTCTTTGTGGAATAATATTTGGGTGCCCGGATAGAGTGTGGGCATTAGTCCAGGGAAGTAGAATTCAGTTGTATAAACTCAATTCCCTTCACTTTGGGGGAACTTTGATACTTAGGAAAGCATATGTGGTGTTTTGTTAGTGAAGGAAAATCTTAGACTCACATCACTCTGGAGGTCATAGGCCTGCCGAGCGTGGATGACGTCGTTCTGGTCGGGCAGGCACGTCCACTGGTGCAGGTAGTTCTTGTAGTCCACGTCACTGACCAACGTCTGGCACTTCTTGGCCAGCACCACCCCCAGCATGTCCACGGGGCTGCTGTACCTGGTCTTCGACTTCTCAAAGTCCTTCTTGTACTCCCTGTCACTCTGGATCTTGGCCACATGCAAGGACCACATCATTTTGGGGTCGTCCTTGATGTCCCGGGCTCCAATGTGGTGGCCAAGCTGCTTGCGAAAGCCTTCCTTGTACTTGTACTAAAGGGAAAAAAATGTCTCATCTTTTTAGAGATTAACTTATATTGCCACTTTTGTGGCAAATGACAAAGCACATTAACTCCAAATATTTCACTAAGCCTAAAGAGCCACAGATATATGCTCTTTTGATAGGAAAGATTAAAGGCTAAATCCAGCTCAAATTTCATGCATAATAAATGCATCCTTGAGCTTATCCTCATCCCACACTGCATCTCGAATCATTTCACTCTGTTTTAATTGGTTACTCGTTGAAAGATTTTGTTCAATTTAAATTGAAGTTGAGACTGCTCGGAAATGATACATTGCAATCAAATCAATATAAATGGGATAAAGTCTTACTTCACTGGCAATTTCTCGGGATGCTTTCGCTGCTTTGACTGATATGGCATCAAGGGGCAGATCGTAGCCTTTTTTCTTCAGCTCCTCATAACCCATTCGATAGAGTTTCTGTCAAAAGATGAAGATCACTTTGGTAAATAAACAATGGAAGCCTAATGAATCCAATGCTAAGTCTTTTAAGAGTACATGGGAATAGTATCTGTGCTCTAAAATACTCAAATGCAATGGGAAATTATGCCCATTGATTGCTATGATGCTGTTTTAAACTTCAAAGCTCTTCAATTACCTAGATCAACAAAATCAAATGTCAGCTCCTTTCAAATGCTTATGAGAATGAAGCAGAAGTAAATTGATAGAGAAATGAAATTAAATATCATTTAGGTGCTGTTTTCCAATTAACTTAAAGTGTTTTATTAGAAGTTTTTGTTAGAAAAGAGCAATAATTGAGAATGTCATTTAATGCCTTTTCATCTAACACCTCTAGTGGGGGAAAAATTATGCCTAGTGAGTTGTCTCTTCTGTGTAGATAAAGCATTGGGATATAGCATCTATTTCACAGTATAAGGTCATCCAGCACCAGCGTAGGATTACATCTGTAGGTATAAAACTAAGTCCTTTATAATTTTTAAAATGTAAGATTTTTTGAGGGAATTTTAAATATTGAATCTGAAAAGCTTAAGTGAAATGATGCGTTTCTTCAGATCTGTTACATAATTGAAAATGTCATTTAATTCACTTTATCCAGAAACCAGATTGTTTAAAATGCCTATTGATCTTGGATTTGTGTTTATGTGTATACTAGAGGCCTCATGCACTGATTCGTACACTGGTGGGGTCCCTCAGCCTGGCCTGCAGGGATCAGGCTGAAACCAGCTCTCCAACATCCCCCGAGGGGTCCTGGATTGCGAGAGGGCACAGGCCAGGCCAAGGGACCCCACCGGTGCACGAATCCATGAACCGGGCCTCTAGCATGCATATATGATCTTTGGTTAATCTCTTCCTGTCCTCCGTGCACTGATTCGTACACTGGTGGGGTCCCTCAGCCGGGCCTGCAGGGATCAGGCTGAAACCAGCTCTCCAACATCCCTCGAGGGGTCCTGGATTGCGAGAGGGCACAGGCCAGGCCAAGGGACCCCACCGGTGCACGAATCCATGAACCGGGCCTCTAGCATGCATATATGATCTTTGGTTAATCTCTTCCTGTCCTCCCCCTCCCTCCTTTCCTCTGAGATTCATCAGTCTGTTCCATGTTTCCATGCCTGTGGTTTCTGCTCCTGCATTGAGCATCTGCCCCCTGGTGGCCAGTGCGCATCATAGCTACTGGCCGGTCAGCAGGTCACTTAGCCTTTTATATATATAGTTTTCTCTTTGTGGCATTTCTTTAATACTGTACATTGCTTCATATTAAAGTCTTTCTATTAGAGTTTAGAATTTGTCTTTAACATATTTAATTTTTATGTCTAACTACTTCAGGAGGTTATGCTATGCTGACAATAAAAATAAAAATGAAATTGTCCTGCATGAGTTTTAATATGCTCACTCATTTGAAATTTCATTGAATTTTGTGTGTGTCAGGCACTATACTAGTGAAGCACTGCAGATCCAATAGTAATTGTCTCTGCCCCCAAGGAGCTCCTATCTATGTGGGGGAGAGTGATATAAACCATTACATTATGACAATATATGTAATGATGGACTACAAGGAACAGACAGCACACATCCCCACTCTGCCTGAGATAGGGAGTGCAAATTATGTTGATGTTCAAGCTAAAAGCCACTAAATGAGGAATCTAAGTCACATGTAGTTCCTTAATGAAAATAATACAGTCATTCAAAATAACTTTCAAATAAATGTACTGCCTTAGAACCAATTAAAATGAACTTTCTTAAAACACATGCTGAATTGGAAACTCACATCACTTGTGTTGATTAAGTTTGCTTTAGCCAGAATAATGTCAGGTGTATCCGGCATGATGTGGACTTGAGTCTTGTCCTTGTCCCAGGCTTCTCTATAAAGTCTCTAAAATGAGAAATAAGAGTTGTTAGATTAGTGAATGACATAGTTAACTTCAAACAGGATTACTGAATTCATCTGAATTAAGCCTTATGACAGATAGCATAAGCAGAGAGCGTACGCAGAAAACAGCTCCAGTATTTCTTGATTTATCTGGGACATAATTGCCTTTCAAAAGAGAGATTATGGATTACCTTTTCCAAGTTACAGATAACCCTGCCTATAAGAAGTCAACCCAAGTAATGGGAGCCTTTGCCAAGATCATCAAATGGAGCAGCAACTCCCCATCTGTTAGACCGTAAAAGTCTCCCTCAGTGTTTCATTGGGAGACTGCCCTTGCTTTCTGAAAAGATGACATACTGGTAGTCCCAGTATGTCTAGAAATTAGGGAGTCTCATTTCCTCTGTGGTTTATTATTTATAGTCATACCACATAATTATTTGAGGGGGGGGGTTAGGATTCCCAAAAAGATTTCATATGAAAACTTATCAAAAATCCTTGTACATCCCAGAGCCATTCTCTTTGTCTTTCTTCACAGAAGATAAAGAGATGCAAACAAAAATCTCACTGATTTACTAAAACTAGGAAGTTAACCTTGTCAGAGAATCTTTCTACATTCTCATAAATGACAAAGTATAAAATAGTAATGGCAGTGGAGAAACTTGGAGACACTATTTTAAACAAGTGATCAAAGTTAAAATATCAGTAAAGGGACAAATTGATGCCATGTATCTCTTGGTATAATGTATGGAGGAGGATACAACATGTGTTATCCTGTAAAAATACAAAACTTGAATCTAATCATATCATGAGGAAACACCATACAAACCCAAATTAAGGGTGATTCTATAAAATAACTGGCTTGTACTCTTCTCAGATGTCAAGGACTTGCAAAACAAAGAAATAGTGAGAAACGAGTCCAGATTCAAGAAGACTAAAGACATGACAAATGAATTCAATGTGTGATCTTTGATTGGATACTGGATCAGAAATTTTTAAAAATTTTGTCTAAAGAACATTAGTGGTAAAAGTGTATAAATTCTGTAGACTAGTATTGTTTCAACATTATAATTTCCTGATTTTGATCATTGCACTGTGGTTATGTTCTTTCGAATGTTCTTGTTTTCAAAAACACACAATGAAGTATTTAGGGATAGAGTGGCATTGTGAAGATGAAAGAAAGAGGAGAAAGAGAGAGAAAAAAGCATTTGTAAAATTATTTGTACTATTTTTGCAACTTTTCTGTATGCCAGAAATTATTTCATTATAAGAAATTTTGAAAGTATCATTTGTTTCTTGGGTTTATGAATTTCCCTTTGAGGCATGCAGTATGGAGCGTGTGGGGTTGGCACTTTTCTCCTTCCTGAGCATGCTTACTCCAGTCCATATAACCCAGAGAAGGTAATTAAGACCTTCAGGGCAAAAACCAAGCAAGCCTGTGAATTTCCATATACATTTTTCCTGGTTCTGCGCTAACCTTTCTGACTAAGATCCAAGTTTCTCAACCTGCGCTATTAGCTGTATCCTGGATGATTCTTTGTAGGGGTGCGTCCAGGAAGAGGCTGTCCCATACATTCTGAAATGCTGGCAGCATATCTGTCTTCTATCCACTAGATGCCAGTAGCATGCCACCCTCAAGTTGTCACAACCAAAAAGGTCTCTAGGTGTTGCCAAATGCCCCTGTGTGACAAAATTGTTCCTGGTTGAGAACCATTAAGTCAGGCCAGATGTTTAATGGCATGTGTCACTTTTACTCCATGGAAAACAGAGAAAATGCTAATATTTGTTTATTCTGAGGTAGATGTATTGGTCTATTCAAAAGGAGAGACAGCAGGCTCAAGGACCTCAGGGCCCCTCTCCTGAGACCTGAGGGGAGTAATCGCTCAGCATTTCTATAACCAGGGCACACTGTTGACAAGTCTGTCCTGAGGCATTGATGTTGATAAATTTCATGACCCAGGGTTTTTCTCTTGGCCACCTTATTAGCTCATAGCTTTGTACACAGGCCTGCTTCATGGAGAAAAAAGAAACTTGGTCTCAAAGGGGGAAATATTTTCCATAACTTTGTTGCTTTATGAGCCAGCTAGTTGGATTCAAATTTCTTTCATAAAAAAAAGCTTGAACATTCATGATAAAGCTGACATGTCAGCATTTTCTGTAAATTTTGGATACCAAAATTGCAAGAAATCTGTGAGAGGTAGAATGGGAAGGGGGGAGCTACAGTTTATCAAATGTTTACTATAAGCTGATTATGAGCTTATATATATTATGTGAAAACTAATATGTCTGACATGTGTAAAATATATAGCATATTATATATATTTAGATTCTTCTAAGACCAAAATGGTTATTATTATGTATTAATTTAAACTTTCTTACCAGTTCCAGAATCTCAGTGCACATTATCCAACTTATCATAATTTTCAGGGTTATACTTTTTTAGAATTACTCTATACTGCTATTTTTCCTTTATTTTATTCACTAAATATTTATTGAGCACCTAGTATGTGCCAGCTACTGGTGTCAGTGCTGGAGAAGGAAGTTAAAGATGGGATACACATTTATATATAAATGTTTATGTATGCTTTAGCTAAACAAAATGCATTATAATTATCGGGAAGAAAATTAACTCTTTATAACATTTCCATTGTATCTGTGGTGCAAGGTACTGAGGCTATCTCTTATAGACTATACCCCAATAACAGCATACTTTTTTTTGAAAGTTGAGTGCATTGGGGTTTCAATGCACTCAACTTTCAAAAAAAAAGTATGTTTTATAGTTTTCTCATTACACTTTGAATAAATGAACAAACAAGCTTTTGGGCACAAAAATTGATACCCATTTTTACACGATCCAGTGTAGGGTAGTTGATAATTCAAATGAAGCAACTAAATGTAAAACATTATGCTGTGTTGTGCTATCTGTGTGATGTGCCACTGTTATATTGAACACCTACCAAGTATCAGGCACTATAAGTTATTTCATTTATTTCCAAAAAAATTATACTCACATCACTCCTATTTTTGGCATTGGTCTTTGCCAGAACTACGTCCATGGCATCAGGAATGCTGGTGAACTTGTTTTTGTCTGCAGGCTGGCGATACTTCTTCTCACTGATGATTTCTGAGGCCCGCTTGTTCTTTTCTGCCTCCAAAGAACCCAGGGGACTCCATCCTATGCCTCTCAGCCACTCGAGGTCAGACTTATACATATTCTGTGAAAAAACAAAGCAAGCCTCAAAATCCCATCCTCCTCGGGGCCCTTGACTCAAGAGAGTCTATGCATTCACAAGCAGATCTGTTTTGGATATTCAGTAATAATTCCTCTTTCTAGTTTCTGTCTCTCTGCAACTAAATGGCCTCTCCTTTGAGATAGGAAGTTATATATAAACAATTAGATTTAATAGATGCTGACCTCACTCTGTATTTCATAAACTTTTTTAGCTTGGATAACATCGTTCTGGTCGGGCAGGCACGTCCACTGGTGCAGGTAATTCTTATAGTCCACATCGCTGACCAAGGCCTGGCATTTCTTGGCCAGCACCACCCCCAGCATGTCCACTGGGCTGGTGTACTTGGTCTTCCACTTCTCAAAGTCCTTCTTGTACTCCCTGTCACTCTGCATTTTGGCTACGTTCATGGACAGCACAAGCTTTGGATCATCTTGCAGACTCCGGAATCCAATATGGTGGCCGAGTTGCTTGCGGTAGCCTTGTTTATATTTAAACTGAAATCAGAGGAAACAGTTATTTTAGTTACTGTTAAGCAGAGGTTAAGTTCAGTTTGCTTTGGTTGTATGTTTGTTTTTGAAAACTGAAATGAGAGAAGGTGTGTCTATGTTAACGTAGTAAGAAATGTAAAAACTTAAGCAGAGACTTTCAAAGAAATGTAATGTAATTGAATATTCAGAGAGGTTGCAGTGAGAAATTAATTCCAATACATTGTGTATGCTGACTTTCTTTTTTATTTTATTTTATTTTTTAAATTGTTTTATTTCTTAAAGTATTACAAAGACCAGAGAGGTTGCAGTGAGAAATTAATTCCAATACAGTGTGTATGCTGACTTTAGGGTAGTGTTTGATAAAGCACTTATGATATCCTTATGGAATAATGGGAAAGTATGGGCTGAATGGCAAAATTTAGGAAGATTCATGACTTGATGAATGGCCTAATAGTGTAGATTAATTAAGCACCAGGATTTTTAGTGACTCGCCATATGGTTATGTCATATAAATTTGTCCTGTTCAGGATCCATTTCTTAATGCACATATGGCTAAAAACAACTAAATATGTTAGATTTGAAAAAAAATTCTACAAATTCTACATGATCTCAACATATTGTCAATGTGGATCAAAACAAACTACATGAATTTCAGAAAGTAAAAGTGAAATCCAGTATTTAGATTCAATTGGGAAAATTGCATTAATACCAGATGATGATAACAACAATGATAATAGAGATAGTAATAGCAGCATTTACATAATACTAGATGCTGAGCGCATATTACACCTCATGGAAGTAGATTCTACTCTCTCTTGACACCCAGCTTCATGGTTATGTATATTAAAAATACTCAGGAGTTCAAGTTGACTATAAGCTCTATGTGGGCAATCTGACAAAACTGCTTATAAAAAAGTAGCATCACTGATTCTGTAGAGACACAAAGGCAAGTCAGGAGCTCATTTACTCTTGCCTGACCTCCTGTAACAGGAAGACAACACCAAGGTTTAGGCACTCTATTTTGAGAGGGGTTTTGAGAAAAAAACAAAAAACAGAGTTAATCACAAGTAGAATGATCAGGAAATTGAAGGAATTATAAAATCAAGGAGAATAAGTAAGAAACTTCAAATGTTTGAAGAGAAAATAAACAGAGTAAATTACAAGTAGAATGATCAGGAGATTGAAGGAATTATAAAACTAAAATCAAAGGAGAATAAGTAAGAAACTTCAAATGTTTGAAGAGATATCAGGTAAAAGAGGAAATAAGATACTTTGTGGTGTTTCTAAACACAGAACTAGAGCTGATGGGTAACATAGTTAAGTTCCATGTAAGATAATGTATAATAACAATTCCAGATGATCCAACAAGGAAATGGACACAAAAATCCTTATATTTTGTAAGTATTCACAGACGGGATGGCCACGTGTTAGAGATGGAGAGAAGGTAAAGCACTGAGTAGGTAGATTGGATTAAATAACCTTTAAGTTATCTTCTAACTCTAAATTCTATGATTTTAATTTATTAAGTATTTATAAAAATAGCTTTAATTTTCTTAAATTTTATAGATACAAAAACCATTTGAAACCAAAAAGTGATATAATCTCTACAATGGTGGGAAAGTTCACTTATAGTTAATTTAATTTTGGGGTAAGATTTCAAAAGTTTCTAACCATAGGTTCACATGGAAAGAAAACAGGTACTACCAAATGTTGCATTGTTAGAAAATTATTGATGCATTTCTTCCGTTCCTAAGCTATCTTTACCTTATGGGGAGCACATAACATTAAATGAAAATGAGTTTATGTTCCGGGGGACATACAATCATCATTATTGCCATTATTGCTCTAGTTTCATCACACATTGATTCATTTTACTGAGGTATTGACCTTCAAGCCAGAAATTAGGTAATAATACATTATCTAATTAGGTTTCCAACACTCCTGGAGTGCCACCGATTAATTGGATTAGGGAGAATCTTCTCTTATATTCTTAGAATTTATTGTTAGAGTCTGTCTTTAGAAAGTCTTTCTCTCCAAACCCATTTCTTGTTTTGTCTGATTTAAAAGGTTTTGATTAAGAGGTTGTGCTTCCCTATGAAATTATGGTAATTTATTCTCTACAGCCAAGGTCCTCTGATTTTTGTGTGATTAATTCTTGGGATTAACAAAATGAGGCATTAACCATAAAAATATATCCTTACAGAAATCAGAGTAGGACTTACATCACTAGCAATGTCTCTCGAAGCTTTGGCCAGCTGTACAGAAATTGCATCAACGGGGAGATCATAGCCTTTCTTCAGAGCTTCTTCCCATCCAAGTTTATAGAGTTTCTGAAAATTAAAGAAATTATTTAATAGTCAGTGTATTTTAAAACCCCAACAAATTCCTGAAATTTACCTAGAGAATAAATAGAGATCTGGGTAAACCTAACATCATCTACTTCCTCTCTAAAGATGGGGATAAAAACAAAACAAGCTGTTTAATAGGGCACTGACTAAGCATCACATGGTCTGGCTTCAGTTTTTTGGCTGAGATACCCCTCCTCCCCAGGATAAGTGAGTATGGCCTTTTCTGTTCACTCATTTATGGGCATAGATCAGATATATCTGGTAATGTTCCCATACTATGTACTCATATTTTGAACACAGATGCTAAAATAATTGATAACAAAAAGTCAGGTGACAAAATATTGATTATCTAAGTGATAAAACTAATAGATGATGAAATGTCTTTTGTAAGGTGCAATAAATGAGTTAACCTTTCTGAGTCAAATTCATTGAATGGAGGCATGTGTGTGAAAACTGGATAATAATAAAAACAGCTGAAAGCCACCCAGTACTATGTACCAGGCACTGTGCTGAGAGCCTTACGTGAAATTTCTCACTGGGCCCTCACAGCAATTCAACGTCATAGGCACTGTTATGGTCCCAATTTTAGGGATGAGGAAACTAAGGTTTAGATTCAATATTATACAAATTATAAATGGCAAAACCAAAACTCATACCAGTTCTGTTTGATATAATATTTTCTTTCAATAATTATTTACTGATTTCCTACTCTCTGCCAAACACAATAAGTACCAAGAAAAACAAAACAGGTACAGCATTTGCCTCCATGGAACATACAATCGTAACTGAAGCTCTTGCTTTTATCCACATTTTGCAACATCCCTAGGCTAGCCAGTTTGTGTCATTCATTTCCAATGCTTTAGCATTTATTTACATCAGTTATTTACCATTACATCACTTAATAAGTTTAATTAATTTTGAGCCCAATTTTTATAAACTTTACCTGACTGTATATTGTTTGATTCTGCTTGGCTTGTAAAATATCCGGTGTATCAGGCATCAAATGAATCTTGGTTTTATCTTTGTTCCAATCAACAGTGTATAATTGCTGGGAAGTTAAAAAAAAAAAAGGCATTTGAAATTTGAATAACTTTTAGAACAAACCAGAAAGAAAAAAAAATGCAGCAGAGTATTGGAATGCACACAATTTGAATTAAATTAAATTAAATTAATTTAGTAACTAAAGTAGCATATAATTCAGAGAAGACACCAAAACCAAACTCAGATTTTAAAACAGAACCTTTTAAATGTTTTCTTCTATGATAAATAAAAAATACTTAAGATATAATAATTTAAAAAATAATTTCTAACTTAATGAGAAGGGCAGGAGAAATAAAAATACGGGGTAGGCAGCAGAAGAAAATGGTGTAGGGGCGTGCTCTGGAACTGTCTGCCCTGCCCAGTAGTGGTGAACCAGAATCAAACATCCCAAACAAGAACCAGAGGCTGCTAGCTCCGCCTCACTTGGGACTGTACGGAAGGATGGCTGTTTCGTCTACCTTGTTCATGGTAAGCGCATTCTGCTTGGCAAGAACCATGTCCATGGAGTCAGTCAGCTTCTTAAACTGGAAAGTGCTAGGGTGCTGGCGGTATTTCTGATCACTGGCATATTCAGTTGCTTTCTTGGCCTTCTCCACTTCTAGGGAACCAGCTGGACTCCAGCCAAGCCCTTTGTACCATTCGTTGTAGTCCTGCTTATATTCATTCTATAAAGACAAGAGGCAACTCTACTTTACCTTACCAATTTAGACACAAAGTGTGGCATAGAAGACTGTGATCCCTGCCCATGCTAGCAATCCATCGCCCTGAAAGGAGAGAGCCTTACGTCACTCTGTATGTGATTCATATTCTTGCTCAGCTGGATGTTCATGGAATCTGGAAGGAGGATGTACTTGTGAATCAGGTGCTTATAGTTGGTGTTGGAGATGTTGGCTTGGGCATCCTTGGCAGCCGTGACACTGAGCATGTTGGGAGGGGTGTGGTAGCTGGTCTTCGTCTTCTCATAGTTTTTCTTGTACTCCCGATCAGATTGCATCTTAGCCACTTGCATGGAATGGACTAACTTGGGATCGTCCTCAAGACTGCGGAAACCAACCATTTTCCCCCTCTCCTTTTCATAGTTATATTTATATTTATACTGTGAAGAAAATTGGAATATTTATTCAAAGCAATTCAAATCATTCTAGTGTCAGCATTCTGTACTTCATAACAAGTAATACTTGTATAGAATTCTACAGTTCACAAAACACATTTTCCACATTTATTTGTATAACTTGACACAACCCTACCTTACCAGATAGATAGCAAAGTTATTGCCCCCATTTTATGGATAAGTAAGCTGAGAGCCAGAGGTGAGGGACTTATAAGGTCACTAAGGATTAGAAGCCAGATTTTATGATGATACACCATACTGACTTCCACACATATTCTGCTGTTAGTGTTAAAGAGGTCTACAGTTGGTAAGAGAGTATAGCAAATGAGAGGAAAGGAGAGATGGAGAACAGCGATAGAGGAAAGAGAAAGTATAACTGGGGGGTGGCAAAGGAAAGAGTGCTCTGAAATGTGCTTCTCTCACTACCCCCAAATCATTCAGCACTCACTATGAGTGGATTTCTTGGACAAACAACCAAATGAAAGAACTGAGTTTCACAAAGCTTATATTATGGCAGTGGTGTGCTGGTACACCAGCTCCCTAGGGGGAAAAACCCTAAATTGTCATCTTTGCCAATTTCTGTGATGTAAATACTCCCACTGTGGCTGATGTCAAGCTACCAACAGTTTAATAACCGGTTTGCACAATTCCCGATTATTTAACCATCAGTTGTCATCAGCACCCCCAGTACAGCACTTCATGAGACATCCTGTTAGGAAGACAGATCCTAAGAGGCAAGAACAGTACAAGTCTTTGGATTTCTACAGGCCATAGCCTTGGTGACTTAGGGATTCTCGCCCCCCAGAAATACCAGAGAAAACAAAAGCACAAAGCTAAGAGGCATTCACAGAATAGAATGAGGCTATTGTGAGCAGGCACATCCCCACCCCTCATACTCTAGCACTAAGTTTCTCCAGAACTGAGCTGTTACTATTCTGGTAGATTAGAACCCCCCAGCCAGGGGACTGCTCTCCTTCAGACTTACATCACTTGCAATATCTCTTGAGGCCTTGGCAGCTTTGATAGAAATGGCATCAGTCCTGAGATCGTAGCCTTTCTTTTTAGACTCTTCCATAGAAAGTTTGTAGAGTTTCTGTAAAGAGAGGCCAGGGAATAGTTTTCTTATAAATAGGTAAGCCTAGATTTATTTTTAAAAAGTAAACTAGCATTGTTTTTATTTTTGAACAGAATGTTTCACTGGTGGATCAATGGCTACATGTTCTCACAAATAACATAATTGTGTTTGGAAAAAAATCAATTACAAGCTCATACATATCTTCAAGAACCTTCCAGAAAAAAAAAAAGAAAAAAGAAACTACCAGAAAAAGTAAAAGTTCTCCATCTCTATGAAGTTATAAATATGCTTTTTAAAAATGTGAGTGGGGGCGTGGGGGGATAAGGACACATATGTAATACCTTAATCAATAAAGAAAAAAATAATAAAAATAATAAATAAATAAAATAGGAATAAAAAGTTTAGATAGAAAAAAAAGTGAAAGCCCAGTAGATTCTTACTGATGCATTTTATCAAATAAGAGTCCAGGGATGACTACAAAACAGCCACATTCTTACATTAAAAAATTTCATTGTTTTGCAGTTGATATTTTTATTTATATAATTGTGTTGACTCTACAACCCAAAAAGAAGACAGCAATTTCAAATCCCTATGTAATTCAAACAAAGGAAAGAAAAAATAAATAAAACTTGGCAGAATTAGAGGATTTCCTAGCAACTATGGTTAGGATGAGAAAGGAAGTGAAATAAATCACCTCTGCATTTTCTGACATTAAGTGTTGTACATGTCTTTTAATGAGGCTCGCCCAAATTCTTCAAAACATGCATTTTCCTTTTCCATTTAACTTTCTCAGACCCCTTCTTTAGAACCATCTCAAAAGCTTGGTGGATGGATTCTAAGAATGAAGTCCTAGGATTCTCACTTCCTTTTTCTCTTCTCCTGGCCCACAAGTGCTTCTCTTCTTGCCAAGTATCTTAGTTTGAGAAGGAGGACCTGCCCCTAAAACAAAATGGACCTGCCCTTCAAATTTCAATTCCTAGGCCTGAGTCCCATCCACAGTTCAACTCCAACAGTTTGCAAAACAAGACAGAGAAAGATTCTCATTTTTGGATTCCCACTCTTACTTTCAAAACATTTACTCTTATAATTAAGGCATATTGATTAGCTAATTCATTTTTACTGCTTCAAATAGGCAGGAAAGAAAGATGACAACAGGGGTAATGATACTTACATCGCTCATGTTAACGGCATTTGCCTTTGCCAAAATAATCTGGGGGATATCGGGCATGATGTGGACTTTGGTCTTATCAGCCTCCCATGCTTGTTTGTAGAGGTGCTAGAGAGTAAAAACAAACAAACAAAAAACCCCGTGGAAGTCAATATCTTACAAGGAGCCTTGCTTAGTACATATATGTCATTGTACATAAATATCAATATTTTATGTATTTTATTAGTTAGGTCTTATTTCTATAAAATTTAAATAAAAAGGTGCTCATTTAAACAAGACAATGGAGAGGATGTCTTAGGATAGAAAAGAAAATGTCCTATCCTCTTATTGGACAGCCTGGAGATCGCATCTCCATTCTAAAATTTTCTAGGATATTAAAGCCCACATATAGTCCTTTTTAAATATAAATGAGGACATATATGCTAGTTAGGCCTTATTTTTATAAAATTTAAATAAAAAGGTGCTCATTTAAACAAGACAATGGAGAGGATGTCTTAGGATAGAAAAGAAAATGTCCTATCCTCTTATTGGACAGCCTGGAGATCGCATCTCCATTCTAAAATTTTCTAGGATATTAAAGCCCACATATAGTCCTTTTTAAATATAAATGAGGACATATATGCATAATAATCTACAACTTGCCTTTTTTACTTAATAATATAGGTTAGAGATCTTTTAAGCCTCTTAAAATAATTTACTTTATATAAAAAGCTTACTATCCCATGAGGAGGTGTAACCCAATTGACTTAGCAGGTTCTTTGCTGACAGTGTTTGATTTGTTGTTTGCAATCTTCTACAAGTCATGGCGCCATGGTCTTAGTGGTGGACCTAGAACATGTTGCCCCAAATATTGGCAGACAGCCTCCACTTGTCACCTGCTGCACAGTTTGCTGCCTCACTCAAGAGCACACCCTTCCCTGGTGGCCACATCCAGTGACTCATCAAAGTGTGAATGGTTAGGTCAACGCAGGCTGCATCTGCCAGGCCACATGCACTCAAGGGCCTAACAGTCAGACTCTTCTTTCTGCCTGGTTCTCCCTCCCACAGGTACTGAATCCTAAAAAGTGCCGCATACTCTAAATTGCATCTCAGCATCTCTACTTAGAGATCCTAACCTGCAAAAATATATTAGTGTGTGTGTGTGTGTGTGTGTGTGTGTGTGTGTGTGTGTGTGT